TCTGTTGAATGGCCTGCGTGGTCAAGATAATCGGTACTGGCATTGGTATGGGCATTGGATTGGCGAAGTAGGAATAAGGCAATAGGAAGATTGAAGTTGGGGAGCAAACTGGGAAAACTTGGGCATGTTCCTAATGGCTTCTTGTCACTCAAAACTACTTGCTCCTAGGAGCCCCCAGTAACGTCCTTCCTCCTAGTAGCGATGCCAGGAGACCCTAGTAGCGTTTTGTCAGCATGTTTGCAAGGAGCTGAACAACATGTGGGAGAGCAAACACGAGTACAGCTACGGTGGTTTTGGAGGATCTCCCGGTGTAATATAAGACTACATCGTAGGCGATCGAACGATCCCGTTGCCCAAGATCTCAACTCGATCCGTACCCACTATCAAACACTTAAGTTGGGACGAGCAATGGAGGACAGCGTGGCTTTGCAACATGTTGTTGTATTTTGATATACGACTACTTGATTCTATGATGGTTTTGTGTTGCGTTTTGAATGCTTGTGGTGAACCTTGTTCCATGAATGTTTTGGTGTTGGTTCTGGGTTCTTGTTTGTAATACGTTGACTTATTGCTGACAGTGACATACTGTATCGGGCATTTTGTACAGGAGTGGTGGGACACCTGTCCACAGGCCGGTCCCAAAACCCGGCCAAGCGCTGGGTTCTCGGCGAGTGAGCCCAGTCTGGCTTCGTTGACCACAGTCGATGGCCTCCTCAAGCTTAAGGGCTCTAATTAAACGTTCAATGCGGTTGTTGCTCATGTGTCCGCACGCTACTGACTAATTTCGGTTGAGGGGAGCTGTTACACAAAGTGAGGATCCCGGATGCCCTGAAGAATCGCTTCGATGTAGAATCCCCCCACGCTGCCTGAAGTGGCTGGAACAACAAGTTGTCGACGCCAACACAAGTAAGGTGAAAAGGGCTTTGGCAAACTCAACACCAGCTTCAACACAAGCTTGAACACGGGCTTCTGGAACCGTGACAGTTCCTGCACCCACGCCTGCAAATACTCTCGCCCGGACAGCGTGCCTGCCATAGCTCACTGACCAGGACAAGCCTTTGGATGTGACCTGTGAGGTGGACTTGGCGAGCTTGCCAGCGCAAGATTTCCAAAACTCACACCAGTGTGCTAACTGCACGACGACTGTGTCAGTGATTTTCATGCGCATCAGTAAAGCTCAGCATGTTTAGAGTTGTGTTCATTCTGTACCTGACCTCTATATCATTCTATGCTTGTTTGTCGCCACTGGTCTGTGTGTTGAAGGCTGTGTTCATTCTGAGGCTGAGGTCTGTGTTTACTTCTTTGCTGATTGTTTCAAGTTCATGCCAGCTAAGTGGTTGCGTGCAATTTAGTTTCAGTGCTTGCTTACTGATTGGCAACGATTTTTACTTTAAACTACTACCAAGGATCATGGCAACGGCAGTATACCCCCGCTTGCCAGCAGTCAAAATTTGCCTCGCAAACAGCTATGACTTGTGGTTGGTGAAGGAGGGTGAAACGAACGCTGAGATCCAGGCAGGTGAACTCATCGGCTTCAACATTGGATCTTTCAATCGGAGATCGCCTTGGGTGCCACGGCCGGTTCATGTCAGTAACACGCATCAACAGTAACATACAGTAATCAACTGGTGGAAGGTACAGGTTGGGTTTCAACCAGTGTGCTTCAAAGTTGCTGAGTTGTTGCGCAATACAAACAAACGCAAGTAGAATGTGTTCCATGAACAGTCCATGAATGTGCCACCATCATGTTCTCAAAGTGACAACCGCAACATGGGTAGAAGTAGCAAGAGTGTACTTAAACAACCACAACAACCGCGAACATCAACACGAACAAACCAACGCACAACACACTTCGGTGATCTGGGCGCCCGCACACGAAGAGCTGAGGCATAGCAACAGCGCCGCCTACAGATTCCCTGCCTTTCTTGGATACGTGCTTGTTGGCTTGGGTGGGGAGGGATGGCAAGGAGTTGGTGTTTATTGCAGACCATGACATGCAACAGGCGCAGGACAAGTTGGGACAAGTTGCACGTCGAAGTTGTGATGTTATTGTCGTAGTTGCTACACCCTTTTTGTTCACCTCTGTTAGTACCTCTGTTTGGCACCCCGACAATGTTGGAACATTTCATGTGTTTTCTGTGGTTGTTGACTTTATTAAGTTCCAAGTTCCGGTTTTGGCCAACGTGCAACACTGACTGGCAGAACAATGGGCAGTTGCTGAACTTCCATGACAAGATTCAACCAAAGCAACGGGTTCACACTGTTGAACAAAAGCCTTTGCCCGGTGATGTCGCCTTGCAGAATATTCGTGCTTCTCAGATGGGACAGCTGTTCGTCAAAGACGGCCAGTTGCCCAAGCTGCTGACCAACAAGCGCTGTGCTGCGACCTGGGATGTCTGTGCCTAAGTCGGTGGGAGATGTTGTATGAATCTCACTAAGCGTGTCACACAAGTTGTAAATGCAGTTTGTTGCGGGTTATTGTTTTGCGGGTCAAAGGGGTAACGTTGCTCAGGCGCGGGTGGACAGTTCTGCTCCGGCTTGCATTGTGGGCGTCAAGGCCACGATTTCACTGACAGCGCGTGTGTCACTCAACGCACGGACAGCATGTAAGCTGTCTTGAATTTTTCAATCAGGGATTAGCCGCTGTAAAGGACTTTTATGGCTCATGTCTTCATAGCTATGACATTCAGCTTCAACAAATGCAATGACGGTGGTTCCACTTGTTGTTGAGGCAGTGAGGAGTGGCCAATGGGGTAGCAATTGCGTAACACCGGGAAGTCCACAGAATAAGGTTTTGATAAACTACCGGCCAAGTAGTCAAGTAGCATCTAGATCTGTCGGCGCTTTGAGAAAAATGAAAAAGAAACAACTGCACAATAACTCGTGGGCTCACGTTGCCATTCCAGCATGCTTAATCAAGCGACAGCGCATACTCGCTCACGCACTGCTACATTAGTTGCTTGGACCTGCAGCGCCCCTCTCGCGTGCGAAGCTGTAGTGTAGTACTCGCCCTTCTTGGATGTGGTTGGGGCAAGTCGCCCCTCGCGTTCATGATGTGAATGACCTTTCTGATGAGGAGGCTGCGCGGCGCCAAAGGCCAAGGCTTCTCCGAAAGCCAAAGCAAAAGGCAAAGCAAAAGCGAGTGCACAGAAACCACGAAAGGACAAATCAGCCAGGCATGAGAGGAGTCAGCCAGAAGAAACAAAGCCTCAGGAATCTCAGGTAGACCCGCAACCAGTCTTGAGGAAGCCAGCTGCAGCAGGTTCATGTAAGCGTCCGAGCAGCGACGTGCTTCATTGCTGGAAGTACCAGTACCCGTCCAACCAAATCTACGGCTTCAAGCTCTCAAACCCGAAGAAGGAAGTCTTGAGGGTCGGGGTGGTATGCTTGATTTGTATACCTTTGTGAACTGTTGCTGTGTGTTGTTGTTGTTGTTGTTGTTGATTAAATCTGTTAATTTCCCTGGAAGATGAAACCTCGGGATGGAGTCCCAGATGAGAAATTCCATGAGATCGCAGCATCTTGGTTGTTGAGACTTCCAGTAGCATTCACACTCTGAAACTTACCAATCACTTACTTTGTGTTTGCTGTCGCTTCTGTGCGTGGACATATTGCTGTCATTTTTGCGCATGAACATGTCTCAGGAAGCGCCGCGCCTCGAGCTTTTGAAGCACAATGGGGACACTGGCCCGGCTTTGGCCATGAGGGTTGGGGGATATAACTCACTGTGCGTGCACGACATGAGCTTCTACTGTGTTTATGTGTAATGCGCTTATGTGTGTTGCTGGGTGTTGTTGGCATGTTGTGGCAGGATGCTTTGCTTGATGCTGCGGTGCAAGAGGCTGCCAACAACAAGAAGAAGTGTGACGCGGACCATGAACCTGAAGCAGAACATGACGAAGAAGGAGGTGAAGATGGTGAAGAGTACAATATGTACATACGATGGAGATGGAAAAAGCTTGTACCTGTGCGCTGAAGTGTTGGGTTGGTGTTGCAGAGTTTTGTCAGTACATGTTGTCCTGCTGCTTGGTTCCCCTACAAAAAACTGGTTAGAAACTGGAACCCCAGTTACTAAGCAAAAAGTTTCAAAGAAGATCCAAAAAATAGATCGATCTCAGGGTCTGGGACGAAGATTCGCCAGGAGCACCCTCAGCTCCTTCAGCACCTTCAACCGGTGCCAAGCCTTCGTCTCCTCCAAATGAACCTAAGACTAGAATGCCGTTGCCTTGTCATCCGTCTTATCAACCGCCAACTGTGACGCAAGAAGTACGTCAAGTCCCAGTTCCTAAGACCAAGTCTCCTGTGACAGAACCGCCTGCAGTTGCCAGGGAATTTCCGTCAGGTTCAACATCAGGCACTCGTACTAGAGTACTGAAAAGGCCAAAGACGCTGCCTATGCCGAAGAATGAACCACCGCCACCGTCGGATGAACAGGCCTATCCATCGACGCTGAATCCAAGTCCAAGCCAAACGGCCGGTATAACAAGACCTGTTCCTAAGAGTGGTGGCCTTGCCGCCTCCTCCTCCGCCGCCATTGCCGGCTCCGGAACTTCCGCCGGTAGGAACAGTTGTCAATTTTCGTTTGATGCCCGTTCCAAGTCATTTAATCTCATTGTGTATCGCCAACTACACCTTCTGTACCAACACCGACTATTTCGAAGGCCACTCAAGTACAGAATCCGATGCAGCGACGAGAAGTAATGCGCCGAAGGATGCCTGCCAAGATGTGGTATGTGCCAGAACAATGTCCTTGACCGAGCCATCTCCCATACGGTCTGTGGTCGCGCGCAGAATGGCTGAGGAGAGGAGAGGAGAGGAGAGGAGAGGAGAGGAGAGGAGAGGAGAGGAGAGGAGGGTTGTGGCAGGATCCCTCACCTGACCAACACGTGGGAAGAAGGATGTCAATCTATACAAAGAAAACTTCACCAAACAAAAACTTCTGGAAAAAACATACGACTCGAGACGCTCACAGAGCCGGTGCGGAAGCTGCAAAAAGGTGCCTGCTGCGGCTTCTCGAAATCTGGTGGATCAACCTGCGCAGAGAACACGCAACCCAAAGCAATTGAATCTCGCACTTCCAATCGATTGACTGGTGCAAAGTCCTATGTTTTACAAATAAGCAAACTGCTTTTTTGCCTCAGGCGGGCACTCCGGAAAGAGTTTCCTAGTTTTGGTCGCGTTGCTATTGCTTTTCACTGTGGAGCGCAGAAGGGCACTTTGCCCCCGTACTCTGACGTGTCCTTCACAAAATGCCGAACTGCGCTCATCACGATGTGTGGCAATCCCCTGAGTTTCCTTTGGCTGGCATTGCCAGTTTGACCATCTCAGGCTCGACGAAGGCCATGTCCAAGTGATTGAAACTGCAGGTCATGAAAGACACGCACAAATCGACAAGTGTACCTGAAGCCTTTTCAAGTTTGGACAAAAAGAGTCCGAGGGTTCGAGCAGGTTATGAGCCCAACGCAGGCGTAAGTCCTCACAGGTCGAGGTGGGGCAGCCCATCGAAGGTGAAGCCATGGCCATGAGACGCCGACGAAAGCAGCTGCCTGGCGATGATGAGAGTGCGGAGCTGCTGGCGGATGGCGGGCTGCCGGCTGAAGGAGGGCGTGGTGAAGAAGAAGAACAGCAGCTGGCTCTGGAGGATGGGGAGCAAGGAGAGTTCCAAGGTCCTGTGGGAAGGCCGACGAGTCTGGGACCGACTACGCCTTTGTTCTCGCCTGAGCAGCTTCGAGATCTTCGTGAAGTTCAGAGTCAAGCACCTCATCTCTATGCCAAGATGCCTCGAGAGTGTGTGGCGTCCAGGTGGTGAAGTACAAGACCAGGTACAGCCACCTCAACAGAGCACGACTACGGGAACTCCATCTCCTCTTCCTGGCCCAGGACATGTGATCTTCGGGAACCTCAAAGAGGCCGATCACCGAATCAGCAAGTCCCTGAAGTGGAAGAGCCAGAAGAGAGAGCGATGAAGACCGAGCAAGAGCAACTTGCGGTTCAAGCACAAGGCCATGGCCCGGGATACCAAGAACGTCATGTCATCAAGGGATATGGAAAGGGCGGACCTCCAGGGTATGACTTGCTGGACGACCGCATCTACAAGGTCAAGGGCTTGGGGTTGGTGGGTGGCAGCATGGACATCACTATGGGTCAGGTCCACCAAACCCGCAAGAGATGATGAATATGCTTGCAATGCTTAGGCAAGAGAACCAGCAGCTTCGGGTGGAACAGGCCGAGATGATGGATGCCATGAAGTTCCAACGAGCAAGCTTGGAAGCTAAGGTGCACGACCTGCAACAGGAGCTGGAGCAGCAGATGTTTCGCACACCGGAGAGTGGAGACACTGTGAAGCGCCACCTCGAGATGACAGTGGGTGAGCAGGAGAAGGAGGTTGACCTTGAGAAGGAGAGGAAGCGCCTCTATGAGCTGACGCCAATGCAGCAGTTCGAGCAGCTTCAATCCCTCATGGGCACTCCTGCCCCTGGCAACCGTGGAGGTCGAGGACGTGGACAACGAGAGCGTTCGAGGTCGTTGCAAGGGCCGAGAACGTCAGGACCGACTGAGGAGCAAACTAAGGGGTCGATACAGCCAGAGCCAAGGCCGATGAAGAGGAGCTCCGACAGGCGGTCAGTGGAAAAGGGGTTGGTCAATCTTGGAGGAGATCTACGGCAACCCAGCCCACTCAGCCCCAAAGCCTCAGGAAGTCAAGATGGGGTCAAGGGTGAGAAGATGATGGAGGCGATGGCCAAGCTGGTCAACCACCTTGTGGAAAAGGAGAGCCGAGACGGTGCCCCAGAATCCGTGAAGCCTGGAACAGTGACACTTCCTACGCTTCCTGAACCGGCGGATTCGGCGCCGATCGACTTGGCTGACTGGCTCACGCTGATAGAACCAGCAATGACAGACTTGAGTGACTCCTCGGGGCAATGGTGGGAGCTGGTGGTGGATGAGGCACGAAAATGGTATAGCCACTACATCCATCTTCGACCACTTCAACGAGCGACCTGCGTCATCGAGCCCTCCTTGGAGTTGCAGAAGCCCAAATGGGTCCGGGTGGAAAAACGGGCCATCAGTATGATGCTTGCAGCTGTGCCGACGAGCGTGAAGGAGGAATTGGTGGCTACAAGGGCACTTTCTCCATTGAGGCTGGTCAGCAAGCTCATGGTCTTGTATCAACCGGGTGGGACGCATGAGCGGTCCATCATCCTGAGACAACTTGAGGAGCCGTCGGAGGCAACTTCACCAGCTGAAGCATGCGCCGGGCTGCGGAAGTGGATGCGCTGGCTTCGACGCGCTTCGGACATTGGCTTGAATCTTCCTGACTCAACGATCCTGATGAAGGGAATCATGAGGTTGAGCCAGAAGGTACTGGCCCAGCAGCCTGATTTGCAGTTCAGGTGTTCTCTGGTGAGAAATACGTTGCAGTTAGACACGATCCCGACCGAGGAGACGGTCAAGACGTATGCTGAACATTTACTTGCTGAACTTGAACAACTCATGCATCGAGTCAGGCCGAAGACTGCGGGAGCTCCGAGAGCTGGCAATCAGGGAGGAGGTCCAGAGGTCAAGGCGGCCTTTGTCGACGAAAAGAAAGGAGAAGGAAATCCAGATGGCAAGAGTCCGGGCATCTGCAAATACTTTCGAACTGATGGAGGATGCCGACGAGGAGCAGCTTGCCGATGGCAGCATCAAGCAGAGCCTGGAGAAAAGAGGTGCTATGTCTGTGGGGCTACCAATCATTATGCCAAGGACTGCACTCGAAAGGAGACGAAAAAGGCTGGAGCTTCTGGTGGAGATGGCGGCAAGGGTGATGGAAAGCGTCCCGATCCAGAGCGAAAGATTCAAAAGGTGAAGGATGTCGGAGGAGCTTCTTCGTCAGCACCTTCGGAAACGTCATCCTCGGTGTTCCCGAACCCCGGATCACCTCCTTCAACATGTGGGTCGGATCTGATGGAGGGAGGCAATCAAGACGCTTTGAAGCAAGTGTTGGATGAAGCGCAGAGAATGCTGAGGGGCATGTCGCTTCAAGGAGAGAAATCCAAGGAGGCGGACTTGGTGGAAGCCTTGAGGAAGATCAAGGAAGGGCCTACAACCCCCACGATGAAGGCCGTGTCGGTTGCTAGAGTTCAATGGACACAGGGGCAACTCATGCATTACGACCTCGACGACCGGGAGAGAACCTGGAGCGGTACAGGCAAGTTCAAGTGTCGCTGGCCGCAGGAGGACGACTCACCTTGCGAATGACGGAAGGGCAGGTGTTGGTCCATGTGGATGAAGGAGTTGAGCCTATAGTTCCAGTTGGTCGATTGATCAAGGACCTCGGCTGCAACCTGGAATGGGAGGGTGATCATTGCCGACTGCTGCACCCACTGAGGGGCCTCATCGACGTGGAGTTGGTTGAGGGTTGCCCCATGGTATAGCGGCTAGCCTATGCAGAAGCACTGGCACTCATCCAGGAGCTCGAAGAGTCCAACTCAAAAATGGCATTGAGATGTCAGGTCTTTGCAGATGAAGGCATTCACACCAACTGGCTCGATCAAGTGGTTCGAGACTTTCCGGTGTTCCAGAACATGCCGCAGAGGATTAGGGACAAGTTGGTGGACACTCCGGCAAGGGACCTGAGTGGACTGCAAGTCAATCGACGGATTCGTCGGAGGTGGGAGCGAGAAGGGGTGACTGTACATCTCTACGCAGGGCCTAAAGATGGGTACTACCTGCAAAGAGCAGTGAAGGAGATGGGGGGGGGACCCTACTCGCATCTTCGAGGTGGACATTCTCAGGGACAAGTCCCACGACATGATGGCCGATGATGGCATGTTTGCGATCCTTCTGAGGATGTGTATGGATGGATGGGTAGATGGAATCTTGGGAGGCCCCAACTGCCGAACAAGGTCAACGTTGAGGCATCAGCCACATGAGAGGATGCCTGGGCCATCAAGGACAACGACATATCCATGGGGGCTTCCACGAAATAGCGAAGCAGAAGCTGCCAAGTGTTACACTGATGACGTTCTTCTCTACCGGATGATCCTTCTCCAGGTGGTGGCGCAAATGGGAAGGGATGTGAGGCTGGGACAGGATTCAAAGTTACGACTGAATCCAAAAGTTTGCTTTCTTTTGGAACAACCTGCCGAACCTCCTCAAGAACCCACGGCGCTTCATTCTGGAGGACTGGAGAGTGGAAGGCATTGAAGACGATCTTGGGACTCGATTTGCTCACTTTCAACCAGGGAGACTTTGGGGGCCTTGCTGCGAAGTCTACTTCATTGGCGCTCAACTTTCCGTTTCAGACTCCTCAGCGACGCCTGGAAGAGCCTGTGGACTTGAGGCCTCGAGCAGAAGTGACAAGCAAGGACCTTGCTAGATGGGCTCCTGGAATGATGAGAGAAGTGGCAACTCAGGTGGTCAAGCACATCCAGAAAATAAGGAGAGTGACGTTGCAGGTTCTGTCGTGGAGGGAACACCTGGCGCAAGGGCGCATTCCATTTCGACGAGATTGTGGAGTATGTCAACGGGCAGCTGCTCGTCAGAGGCCCCATCGAGCACAAGGAATCCCTGAACCATGCGTTCTTGCATTGGACTTGTCTGGACCCTTTGCCAAAGGAAAAGACATCGATGGGGATGAGAAGAAGTATCTCTTGGTGGGGTCCTACACGTGGCCGGTCTACGAAGGACACGAGTGGGAGAAAGACGAGATCTTCAGCCAGGGAACCTTGGCAAAATGAATATCCCGACGTGGAAGACTACCTTCCCCAGTCTGAGGCGGAGGGACCTGGAGTTCATCATGTACCCAACAGGCCCACACAGGGAAAACTACAAAAGACAACTGCAGTTGTCTTTTGTAGTGAAGTTGTACCAAGGACAACTTCCGCCCCTCACGGGAAGAAAGGATGGAAGTTCATCCGGGAGGAGAACTTGAGCCGGATGAGAAGAAAGAGCCAGCTCGAGGCTCTCCCGAAGAGAATGAAAAGCCGGAGGAGGTCGAACAAGAAGAACCGACCGAAGAAGAGCTGAAGGAAAAGAACTAGACGACAAGTGG